TTCCCCTCTCATAAACCCAAATACAACTAAAACACCCTTAAGACTGACCTCGACAAACGCCCTAGCTGCCCCACCTGCCCAAACACTGTACCAAATGAAATAAGTAACCTCATACCACATAAAAAGATGGTCTACTGTCTCCGCCTGCCCATAATACACGATAAACCTGATATCACCCCATTCAACATAATATGAGGGTTAAGAAATTTTTCCTTGTCAGCAACATATTTTGGAGTAGCTTCTAAGAAAATACTACCACTTTAGAAGGTTCCCAACTCTTCCAAATATTAGTAAGCCTCATATGCACCACCTCATACCTACTCATTGGCAAATTTGCTAGAGAACCAAGGTAATCTGGTTTCACTAAAAAGCCACCTATTGGGTCTGGTTTCTAAATCCAAATATCTTCCAGATTCAACCCCGTCATCCCAATAAGAAAACAAAGTAAACACTCTAGAAGCTCCTCCACCCAAACAAAGAGAGGGAACTTCTAAGAAAACATCCAAATCCAAACGCATCAACCTAAATTCTGAAAGAGCCCACTACATGCTTTTATTGCTTAAGGACAAGAAAAATAGTGTTCAAAAGAGACACACAACGAGGATGTGCAAACCCAACGTTATGCCAAAACCAGGTCAACTTCCCATCTCTGAGCCTCGTGACACAAGAGGCGACGAACAAATCAAACCTCACATTAAATGGAGACCTAAGAAGCATGACCCTAGTCCACCATTGGGACACCTTTGTAAGACCCTTAACCCTACTCGCCATCAGCGAACCATAACTTGATGAGCAAGTACCTCTCCATAAAGAAGGTGTATTCAAAAGAATTCTCCAACTACATTTTTGTAATAGAGCAAAGTTAATAATCCTAAGATCCATGACACCTAAATTGTCAGCTCTTTTGGCCTTGAACACATTCACCAACTTCATGCAAGCAACCTTATAATCCCACTTAGAACACTCTACAGAGATATCTCCCCCTTTAAACTAAGCAACTTCTATCAGACTAAAATCGATATTATTCTATAAGACAAAAAGAACACCATAATAGAGTTCACCACCAAATTCAACATGACGATACTCCTTCTTAGATTATCAAATATATTCCTCCAAGAATATAATCTCTTAGAAATAAGTGGAAGCAGATGATCCCAAGTCCCTTTCTTTTTTTGGGTTTGCACCAAACAGAATCCTTAGATACGTAAAGTGAATGGTACCCACCTTAAAGTGCGAAATATTCCGTACCCTGTCCAAAAAGGAGTTGTTGCTAAGGGCGAAATTGTGCATATTTTTTATAGTATTTTGTGGCTCTTTCCAATTGTTTCTTTGATGTTTTAGTAGTAAATTCATATGTTTTAGTGTAAATACATAATTTTCCGATTATGCATGTACATATTATGAATTATGATCATTTTGATGCTTTTTTGATAGGTTTTCTTGCTTGATATAATGCATGGAACCTATGAATGACTGAAGAGGGTTTTGAAGATCAGTTTCATGATATTTTGACAGCAACTCGCGCTTAGCATGGCCCTTGATCGTGCTTAGCGCGCTCTAACCATGCTTAGCGCGATTTCTGGGAATTTTTCACCTTGGTGCTTATCGCGCTTAGCGTGGTGCCACTTACAGGCACATTGTGGAACTTGTAGAAATAGGCACTTGAGTAGATATTTTGAAACACTTCATATTTTTCTAACCTTTTTAGATTGTAAATAGGTTTTTAGGGTTTGGAGCTTAAAAATTCCAAGAGAAATGAGAATCAAAACTTTGGAGCATTAATCTTCGATCTTTCGAATTTGATGTTAGTAAAGCGTTCATTTTTACTTGTTGATCAAGCTACCATGGTGATGGATAGATAAACACCTTTTATGTTAATATTAGAAGTAGCTAACCTTATTATTATGTATTCTTTTTATCTTTTGTATGTGAACAAAGTTGATGATCAATATATGATGAATTTCTTTAATTTTTATGATATATGTATAGTTTGAATCACTCTAGACATAGATTTTCCAAGTCTTGATCTAAGTTCTTCAACTATTAACAAAAAAATTCTAGACATAGATTTGGGAGTTAATATTTTCTTTGTATTGATTTTTATATTTATTATTTTGATTGTTGTTTCGAGAAATCATCTAGCGATTGAAACAATAATATCCATGAAGCCACTTTAGAAATAAACGAAATCGAGATGATACACGATTGTATTGATCTATACTAAGTTCACATGCTTGATTATTTGGACATGTATGAAACGGGTTAAGGAAATCTAATTTTGACATGCTTTTCTTAAAACAAACATCTTTCTTTAGTTTACGCTTTGCTATCAAAACAAGTAAAAACATATGTTACCAAACCAAAACTCTTTGAAATTGGAACTAATTGATAAAATAACATGTTTTCAGGACAATCCTCCAAAATAAGATTTCAATTGATTGTAACTGTATTTTTGTAGGTCCAAAGGAGGTATCGTTTGAAGCATTATGAAGAGCTACCCCATGGTAGTTCTTGGTGACATAATTTATTTGTATTCATATGCTTATTGTATAGATGTATGTTATAAATCTTATGAATAACTACGTGAATCGTTATGTTTACTTAATGATGAGTTGATGCTATAATTATTTAACATGATTGAATGATGCATGAGTATGCATTTGATGAGGTGCTGATGTTGGTGTGATTTATTATTTATTGTAGCATTAATCAATTGTTGTGTATTGAGGATAATATGATACATATTTATGGTGACTGATTGATGATCATTGAGGTGACAATTTTAGTGATAATACATATTGTAGAAATTCATGCATCACGATGTATAAGATTAAGTTCATTTTTGCTGTGCTCGGGTCCTATAGTGTGAATTCAGGAGTGAATATCTGATTTCAAATGAAAATATGTGAAGCGTTACTTATGGTGATAATAGCGATTTGGTGAGTTCTGATCATATGGTGGGATTCAAGAGCGACATAGACCCGTGTTGTCCATCATGGTACCACTTGCATAAGTGTCGCATTGTATCGTTAGTCACATTTCATATATATATATATATATATATATATATATATATATATGTGTGTGTGTGTGTGTGTGTGTGTGTGTGTGTGTGTGTGTGTGTGTGTGTGTGTGTGTGTGTGTGTGTGTGTGTGTGTGTGTGTGTGTGTGTGTGTGTGTGTGTGTGTGTGTGTGTGTGTGTGTGTGTGTGTGTGTGTGTGTGTGTGTGCGTGTGTGTGTGCGTGTGTGTGTGTGGTTATGAATGAGTGTGAGACTATGTTTTTGTTTAATGTGTAATGCATGCGTGTTATATTGTATGTTCTTTATCTTAGCATTCTTTACACAATTTATATTGAATGTTGTTTCTCACCTCTTTGCTTCATGTTGTCCACCATGGACATCTCGAAGATACTTAGGATTGAGCTTTATTGCTATGTGTGAAAGGTGGCATGTTGAAGCTACTCTTCGTTTAGCCATTTATCCCTTGTCATACATTAGTAGTTTTTAGTGCTCTGATCATGTAACATCGGAGTCGGGAGTTGTCATGTTCTATGTTGATGTTGATTTCATTGTTTTGGAAGTTATTACTTCATTCATGAAGTTGCTATGAAAAAAATTTCCGCTGCGTATTTTCAAACGATTTAATTTGTGTTTTGAAAGGTTGTCGTTGGTGACACTTTAAATTCTTGTAAAAATATTTTTAAATTAGTTCCGGAGTTTAGGGTGTTATATAGCGGTATTAGCGGTGCGTCTTGCTATGTCATGTAATTATGTCAATTCCCTAGTATGCAACATATGTATGAACATTATCGATGCGTTATTTCTTCTATTGTCTGTTTGCTGGTGTGCAGAATAGCTGGAAAAAAACTATCACACTATTGCTAAAGCCTTGGAGACAGTGGCTCAGGTGTTTCCGTGTAAAACTTTAAGTGGAGGATATCATTTTTTAACTATTAGCAGTAACAAATATATGACAATCTCTTGTATTTTTAGGGAACTGCAACTCTGTTAGAGAGTGATTGTTGGTGTTGTTGTGTTGTTATTGATGGTGTCTACAATTTTTGATTTTGTATAATGTCCTTTTTAGGTGAATTCGGTTACTAATACCTCTTGTAATAGGTCCGAGGTTTGATTTACATCAGTTTTGAAGCAAAATATCATCTGATTCGAAGATAAATTTATTTGTGTTTTAGTTTGGTTTTAGATGATTGATTAAAAATATCAGATCGATCCAATCAAATTTCATGCGATTTAATTTGGATCGATTTTTTCGATATCCAAATTATAAATTATAACTTTTATTAATATTATAAAAAATACTAATAAATAATAAGTTTGATATAATATATAATAAATTATATTAAAAATTACTATTAAAAATGAGAATGATAAAAATAAATAGATTGAACCAAATTAATATATATATATATATATATATATATATATATATATATATATATATATATATATATATATATATATATATATATATATATATATATATATATATATATATATATATATATATATATATATATATATATATATATATATATATATATATATATATATATATATATATATATATATATATATATATATATATATATATATATATATATATATATATATATATATATATATATATATATATATATATATATATATATATATATATATATATATATATATATATATATATATATATATATATATATATATATATATATATATATATATATATATATATATATATATATATATCAATGTGCTACAGTATAATTTTAGAAAGTAATTTAATTACACTTATTATTAATTTTTAAATTAAACATTTTATAAATTATATTTTAAACTGCCGACACAATTATTTTTCTTTTCTTATCTTGGTCCTATCTAGTTCAAAGCATGTGCTTTACTGAGGTGGTGCTTAGGAGTGTGGAAAAAGAAAATGTTTCATGCCATCACTATATAAATAGCCTTTAGTCTCAATCTTAGTGTGCATGCACTCCAAACACATTGGTTCTTTAAACCATCTTGTTCTTCCTATTTTCTCTACTCCATACACTATGAATCTTGCAAACTGCAACTGTCTAAGCTCAAGAAACAACAGCATTTGGTCAAGTTATGAGAAAATTGGCAATGACCCTATTGTATGTGTCAATGAATTCATGACCAAAATGAATATAACAAGGTTGAAAAGATTGTGGAGGAAGATCAAGAGAGAAAAAAATAGGAGAATTTTTAGATCATCTTTACCTGTGTTTCTATATGATCCTAGCTCTTACTTACAAAATTTTGATGATGGCTATTCCACTGATCCGGATAATGTTTCAAGATCATTCTCAGCTAGATTTGCAGCACCCTCCAAGATTTTTGTAAAGAGTATTATTCAAGTGATGGATGATGAAGATATATCGGAGATAACAGATGAAAGCTAGCAACATGAACATAAACATGATCTAATTTTTGTTGAAGCTTTCATAAGCTAAAAGCTTTCAGAAATTGCACAATCTTTTAGAAGATGCATTTAGAAGCAGTTTCTGAATGCAACTTCTGAAAATTTGTGCAGCTTCAACAACCTTATAGTGTATTATGATTATGATGTAATTGTACAAAGGTTTTTATCTTGTTGTTCTATTACAACAATTAAATTTTGTTAAATAATATTCTATCTATATGATCTTTTCTTTTCTTATTTTACTTTTCTTCCTTTTCATGTTTTTTCTTTGATCTTTCCATTGGTAAATGTGGACCCTTTGACATATTTTCTAAAATTTTGTGTCCGTTATTGCCAATCCAAATGTATAAAGCTCATATTTACCAAAAGAAAAATAATAAAATAAAAGCAATTCAACTTAAGTAAAGTAACACTAGTTGATATTTGTTCATGCTTGGTTGAGTATTCTTCATATTCTTTTTAATGAATACTTTTGCTTACAAAAAAAATGTCAATGTTTAAAATTCAAAATCAAATCAAACTTTAGTGATTGTGGATATCATTTCCCTCTTAAGTGTAGCTTATAGCCTGAGAATAAAGTGTGTTATCTCTTCCTTATAGAATTTGAGAAAGCATGAACACCATTATCTTAATTACTAAAATGTGTTATAGTTCGGTTTAGATTAAGACTTTAATTAAGTACTTATATTAAGGCATCTAACTCACCGCATAAATGTTTGTGGAATAATTTATATTAAGATAAATTTTTAAATATCTATGATAAGTAGTTAGGTACCGATATATTTAGTACAAAATGATTTAAAATATTAATTTATTTTTAAATAAAAAATATATAAAAAATGATTTGACGTTGAATGAAATTGTTTTATTGAAAGAAGGTATTAGTATTCAAATAAATTTAAAGATATCCGAATGTTAACTTTATATTAATTGTTTTCTTTTTCCATTCAAGTATATGATTGAGAGATAGTAGGGGTCTCTTTCAATTAAATCTCTTAAGAGAAAGTTTTGCTCCCTATTATGATTCTTTCGGATTTAAGGGTTAGTCTCTCCAGTTACGCACGCGTAAGTTGCTAAATCCTTGAATACGAAAATTTATTTTGTTGTTTATCAAACCAACAAACTCATTAAATAACATGTAAGGTGGCCCAGCCATAGCTCTCCAGCTTTTGATCTTTTAGGACCATTATTTCTAAAGAAAAAACAAACAAACAAACATGAAGTAACTGCAAAAGCCATGTGCAATCTATGAATGAAAATGATGTTACAGTTGCTCTAGTGCTATCCAGCCCTCTTCCACTTGTCTATCAATTTATCTCTTTCCTTTCTTTTTCAACCTATCTGCCTCTCTTCTATTTAATGCGAGAAAGTGATGCATAGAGAAAGATGGCAAATTTTGAAATAGTACAAAGCTATAAGAGCTGTTTTCTTGCATTCTAATTCGTTAACCTTACAGTAACTGGTTTATGTTCAGTACTTCTGTGGGGCTCATGAAATTCATTACATCTCCTTCTGCTACAAAACCTTTCTATATCCTTTGGATGAAAATTTTATTTTTGGACAAGCTAATCTTTTGAGTCAAGTAGGACTTCATAACAATATTTCGGTATTATTTGAATCTAGAAATCTTTTTTATATTAATTGAATATTCTTACACGTAACTGCAGATACTAATTTTTTTTACTAGTTAAGATAAAATAGACAATAATGTTTTGGTAAGGAGTTTTGAGTTCATATTTGCACTTGATCTTAGATCGAGCGGTCGAGATATGCATTGTTACTGTCCAAATCCATGGATTGATCAGTTGTTTCTAAGTAAAAATATGTGCAGTTAGGTAAATAATAGGTTTCCAAATTTGAGACAAACATAACTTGTGTCTTCCCTCTATCATTAACTCAATAGTATTTCAATTAAGAATAAAGTCAGGCTTTCAGGGAGACCAATGCTTAGTTGTCTGTTCTATAGATATATCATGCCTCTAAAAAGTTGCTCTAATAAATTCAACAGAAAATTTATAGCATTGGCTCATTCGATAGGAACATATCTAGTAGAGATTACAAAATTATTAATGACACTATGGAAGGATATGCTCTAAGGCCTCTTCCTCTGCCAATGCAATTAATACAGCATGGTGACAATGTCATGCATGGTTGCTATAAATGTAGAATTTTGGATTGGTGATACATTGCTACTTTGCTAGTATAGAAAAAGGAAGTAGAGTGCAACAAACAAGCTATAATAGTTCAACGAGTAAAGGTGGGTTTCAACAATAACCTAAATGTATTTCAGGTCGATGATAAATCTATTCATTATCGACTGTATCTCTATCCCTATAGAAATCAAGAATAGAATTCTGAACTAATATCTATGTTAGAATCGATTTTGATAGATCAAGATTCAATCCTTTTTTTGACTCATTCAATATTCTCGTTATTTACCTTTCACTTAAGTGATTCAACCATAGCTTCCTTACAAGAGGATTCCCTCACACAATGATTTGAAGAAAAAAAGAAAATTTTCAAATATTGGGGGAGAAGATAGAATTGAGAGAGAGTATAAGTTATTGAATTGAATGGACGGAAGTTTTATTGATCATTCTATTAATATTGATTTTCTCTTTGCCTATATTGTGCTGATTACAAATGCAGGATACCTCCCAATGTATAATGAGATTGCTTGCGCATCACATAATCTCAAAATAACTAACTTCAACAAGATTTTATTCAACTCTGTCGAATACATGTTGCTTCGACTACGACTAACTATATTCGACTCTCTGTCGAATACATGCATACTCACCTATTAGAGACTATATTTGAGTACTATTTTAATAACTACATTCGACTTTGACTCTGTCGAACCCTACATCTTACAAACATGCTTAACACAAAGAATTGCATATTTAACACACCATCTAATTCATTGTGTCTAAGCTATCCACATTCATCATAGTTCTCAATTTCTAGAACAATTCCACCTCACAGACTTTGTCGTTATGTATGCAACCTGATTATCAGTTCTGTAGTGTTCTAAATTCAGTTTTTCATTTGATACTTGCTCTCTAAGATAACGAAATCTCATCTTAACGTGTTTGCTTCTTCCGTGTGCTATTGGGTTTTTGGCCAAACTGATAGCAGACATGTTATTAATCCTCATGATCATAGCTACATTATTTTTACATGCAATCTCTTCGATTAGATTTACCATCTATGTTGTTTGTCGTGCACAAAGAGAGACATCTATGTACTTGTTGGCTCCTAATTTCGACGCTTGAATAAAGTTAAAAGTAACAAATAGAGTTTCCTGAAGAAATCTAATTAATTCGACTAAAACTATATTTTTGGAATGAGAGTCGAAGGCGTCCTTTCGTCAGGAGGGTCTATGTTATGGACTTAGAGATATTCCTCAGCAATTGAAAGACCCAACTCGACAGAAGCATTGCTAGGGGCATTTCGACGAGTTCGTTTGAATTCAAAATTTTCTATTATATTTACTTCAAGCATATCCAGATAATCTCATCCATTAGTTATGCGAATACATAAAATCAAAGTGATTTTCGTTATATCAATCATAACTAAACTCATCAATGATTATTAGTAATAAACTAACTAAATGACATATATTCATCATGAAATGTGTAGCATAAAAATCACAAAGATGTGGCCTGTACATGTCGATTTTCAATTGGTCCAATTTTACTTTAGTGAAGATATTTAAGAGAATAAATATGATATATTTAGTTTTTGAAATTTATTTGTTGTTGTATGTAAAAGAAAAAATTTCGTTTTTGAAGTAAATGTTTTCTTTGAAGCTAGTAGAAATATATTCTTTTCTGCAAGTTATAAAATTTCGAATAAATGTCATATATGTTGAATGCTAGAAGGATGTTGTAGATTAAAAAATTCTATCAAACAATCAGGAGTGGTGACTTGGAAGATATATTTTTAATGGCATTAGCTCGATGCCTATTTTTTATTTCAAGTCTCGTCCAATGGAATGATTATGATGCTTTTATCAACCTCACCACTTAGGTACGACTTTAATCTTTGAGCATAGATTGCACTATTTTTTTTTAAGATTGGATGTTCTAATTCCAGTGTTCCATATGGTATAACCTCATTGATCTTGAATGGTTCAGACCAATTTGATCTTAATTTTTCTAGTAAGTCAAAATTGAAGAATTTAATTATCCAATATGCTTTGTTCCAATTCTACTAGAATATGACATGATTTACCATTTACTATTTGAAAAGGTGTGAAGCTAATATGAGATTTATAAAATGTTCTATAGGCCCAGAAAACTTCATCCGATTTTGATGATCAACTTTTTCGCGATGAAGCTTCATCTGATTTGAGTCCACACAAACAAGAATAAAATAAAATCAATCATACAAATAATTTGATTATCCTATTTGATCAAACCGATCTACTTTGCGGGAGAGAACAACTCTCTAATTTAATACACTTCAAGAGTTAGTATATGAGATTACATGTTAACTCACCAGAAAATAATCTTCCAAGTTCATAAAAACATTTCATATTTTATATCCCCAAGTGTTTTTCAATTTCTCTTTATCTCAATATATAAATCACACAAACCTAAGGTGTTTATAAGTGTTTTCCAATCTCCTTAAATATCCACAAAGATCTTCCAATTATTAGAACTATGAATCCTAAGAATTTCTACCATTACCTCTCTAAATTACCCTCACTAAGATTTCACTATCTCGTTCTCGTATTCTAAAAGTGAAAGAGAACCACATTTATAAAGGCATGTAACCCTAAGACACAAGGTTTGCGGCTCCAAGCTAAAGTTAGAACCGACCCAACCCTCGTCCTCTTCGCCATCCGACCACCACTTACATTCGCTGACGTCGAACGTCCTACATCCGATCGCTGCCTAGCTCTTGGCCTCATTTTTCAGCCACCTCTCTGCTGCCCTTGTTAAATTAAAAACTTGAAAACTTAAACTTTCGTTAAATTACTCAAGATTTTAAGATTTTAGGTCACACTTCTACAATATGATATTTTATCGTAGTAACATAAAGGCAAAATATCATTTTTAGTCCCTTAATTTTATCCTTAAATTCAAATTTGTCCTTTAATTATTTTTTGTGTCAGATTGGTCCCTTAACTATTTAAAACGTGTCATATTGATCTTTTTGTCTAATTAACGACGGATTTAGCGATGGATTTTTAAATTTTTTTGTCGCTAATTAGACGAAAATAACCAATATAACATGTTTTAAAGAGTCAAAGAATCAATCTAACAAAAAAAAATAATTAAGACACTAATCCGAACCTAAGGATATAGTTAAGGGAACAAAATAGTATTTAGCCTAACATAAATCAATTAAAATTTATGCTAATTTAACATAATTGATATCACAACTACCAAACCATAACATTTAATCTCCAACTGATATTAACAATCAAGACTTGGAAATACGGACATCAAACTTTGTGTTTCAAAGTTATTTTCCTTTTCTTTTCCTTGGTCCTACTCCTATCTTAGTTCAAAGTATGTGCTATGATGAGGTGGTGATGATGAAATTGAAAAAAGGGAAAGAAGAGTGATTAATGCCATCACTATATATATAAATAGCCTTTAGTCTTAGTCTTAGTCATAGCGCATTCACTTCAAACAAACACATTGCTTCCTTAAAACATTTTATGCTTCCTTAAAACATTTTATGCTTCCTACACTTTCTACTCCATCATACATCATGAACCTTGAAATTTGCAACTGTTTAAGCACAAGAAACAACAGCACTTTCTCAAGTTATGCGAGAATCTGCAATGACTTACGTATCAAGGAATATGTCCCTAGATCAATGAAGATTACAAAGTTGAAAACACTGTGGAGGAAGATCAAGAGAGAAAAGAAGAGGAAAAACTTTAGATCCTCCTCACATGTGTTTTTATATGATCCTAGCTCCTACTTACAAAACTTTGATGATGGATATTCCACTGATCCTGAATATGTTTCAAGATCATTCTCAGCTAGATTTGCAGCACCCTCCAAGATTAATGTTATTGAAGTGCTGGATGATGAAGATAGATTCGAGATAAACGATGAAAGCTTGCTAGGAACATGAACATAATAATGTATTTGTAAAAAGGTTTTTGTGATCTTGTCATTCTATTTCAACAATTAGATTTTGTAAAAGTGAGATTCTATATATCTATATGATCTTTTTATATCTTCTTTGATCTTTTCATGTCTTCTTTTACTTGCTAAAAATGATTATGGTAAAATCGAAATGCATAGAATTCACATTAAAAAAAGAAGCAATCCAAAACTTGTTCCTTATTTCTTCATCTTTAGATCTGTGAAGACCATTATACCAGCTTATCCAAAAAAAACAACAAAATGAAGAATGAAAAAAGGAATAACTGCAAAGACCATGTGCTATGTGAATGTGACTATGTGAGAAAGTGATACAGAGAAAATGATAACAAAATTTGGAATAGTAAAAAGCTATAGGAGTTATTTTCTTGCATCCTAATTCGTTAACCTTGCAGTGACTAATTTATTGTCAGTGCTTTAGTGGGGCTCATCAACTTTTGTGACAATTTTCGAATTCATGATGAACATTATCTTTTGTTGAAAGTGAGGTAGATATAGTTCTGAAGGATCGACAAGGTCAAGGGTTGCATGCCGATGCTGCTCAATATTTTTGGGTGAAGACTGAGTTGGTAGAGACGATTTCCACCTTGAATAATGCTAAGAGCTCTGATGATGCTTATTCTGACATAGGATCATCTTTTAACTAGTTTGTTTCCATCGTTTAACCTATAAGAAGAAGTGTAGTTCTTTTGAATGATGTTTTATGCCTATTACTATTTTTTTTTTACACTTTTTTATTTGTCCAACACTGCATTATTTATTTGTTGCATGGTCCTTTATGCTTTCATACATCCGTCCACAATTATATTTCTAAAATAGTCTTTCATGATTTCCTTTCATTATATAGTATTTCAGGATTTTATATCACCGTATAATCTTCTATGATTTAATTCCATCATATATTATTTCATGATTTTATTTCATCATATGGTCTCTTTTAATTTTATTTCATCATATAGTCTTTCACATTTTTATTTAATCGTATCGATGGCATGGACGGGCTAGACGTCATCTTTGCTTTTACGTTTTAAGGGATTGTTTCTGGCGAATGGTTGTTTCCCCTTCCCTTCCCCAAGGTGAAAACCTGGTCTGAGGCCAACATATTCAGGGCTATGTCGCTTATGAAAGGAAATTGCGATCCAAAATGCAGCGGAAATTAATTTTTTCCCCTATAGTAGTTCTTAGGAATGGGGATGATCAGTGATAGAAACAGTTACCTCTTGTGGCGGTAAAATCTTTGATGCTGAATGGAAGGAGTGATCACGAGCAGTGAATGATGAACAACGCCTCTACTCAGTCTGCACGAACATATTCCTTTAGTCTCAGTGCTAGTTGCTACAATTGAAGGCTTTGAGTGAGAGATAAGGAAAATACGGTTAGGATTTCACAGACCAAACTTTTATCAAGTGTGAATGCTTATGCACAAGGGTTCTATTTATAAAACCACTTATGTGGGCTGCAAGCAAAAATGCCCACTTAAATGCACACGCACCATATCTTATGGTTTACCGTATATCACTTAAGCGCATGGTACCTTACCATATTCCTTATTCTACTTAAGTGCACCATACCTTACGGTGTTCTACATTTACTAAAGTGCATTGTACCTTACAATGTTCCTTATTTACTCTACCTCTTACCAGTTTGTCATTATGTGTGACCCAATAGATTTCCATGGCGTTGGATATTATATTAAATCACGCATTTAACATAATAGATAGTGAGTGTTATCTAGAAACGCATCAGTCATATTCAAGTCATAAACATTTGATGTGATATGACAAAACTTTTTGTGATAATACTTGTGTGTACAATTATCCTTTTGCCTTTATATATATATTGAACACAAGGCATATGTCGTGTTATCCTTGTCCAGTTCAATATTGGGCACTTAGACATTTATTCTATTACGCAAGATGGGAAAATTCCATCTAGGTCACTGATGCCCCTCAACATGCTTTGTGAAATATCCATCAACTGTCTTTATGGTCATCTAGTTACAGACAATGTTTGATCAGCAATAAAATACTCGAATCTACATCTAGATCCATAGTGGTTTCAGGTCGAAGGGTGGTATACACCATTATTACTATGAGAGTAACTTATGACACTTTGCATAACATTCTATGTAGTACTCTCATAGCAGGCCAATCCAGTATAAATAATACTCCTAATATTCATACCTATGTTAAGACTTGATAACTCCTTATCCATGATCCATGAGATGTGATCATCAGTCTATCTATATAATAGTCATAATTCTTTAAGGTAATCTCACTTTATAGTAAAGCTCGACTACAGATACTTCAAGAATAGTGTTCTTATGTTTACTGAGATCTCATGATTAAGTCACACTTAATATTTTATTAAACGGACTAGCTACTCTAGGGACTTTATTATTTTGGAAAAACAAACATAATAAAGAAATGTCTTTTATTAATAAATAATTCGATACAATTACCAAAAGTATTGATCTCTAGGGCTTACACCAACAACTTATGCTCCAGACTAGCTAGCTACCAAGATGAGGGTGTGCTAGCACCGACTTCATTTTCCTTATTAATCATACATTAAGCCTTCACTTGGAAAGAAAAATCATATAATTCAACAAAGAACATTGTATTACAATTATCAAAGTATGACATCAGTTAATAGTTTTTGATACATACTTGTTAAACATTGGGATTTAGCTAAAATATCTCTTGAGCTTTGTAGAGTTCTGTATCCTTAGAATTGATTCTTCGTGCAGGGTCTCCAAGGTGTACGCATGATTTCATGAGCCATACCTAATCCTATATGTTCCTTCCCAATTGGCTACAAGATTTTTGTTACTAGGAATCTTTCCATCAATGTCGGTCGATTTTAACACCAGATCGCTATACTAGTACTTATGAGGTCAATCTCGTTTTTTGTACCAGGTAGCGGTTCTTTGTTTTACAACTCCTCTCATGAGGGTGAAAGAGGCTCTTATTTATTTCATAAAATATACCTCTTACTGTATGAATTGTGTGTTATCTTCCATTAATAAAGGGTGTGTTGTTCTCCAATTCAGTTCCCCTATCTTGACAAGGATGATAACTCTGGTCCCATAATTAAGTGAATCAAAATAGTGTCTCATTGATTGTTCAATGAGGCTTGGTTTTATAAGCTTAAAGAACACGTGGGACTTCTTTTTCTTAGTTCCCCTTAGCTGCTTCGAAGCTTGTCTTCTATCCCCTTCGTAGAACAATGTTTGTTGTTTCTGGTTGCTCATTTGTCAAGGGATGCTTAACTGATGTGAAGTGGCGTTTTACCTTCAAATACTTCAATACCTTATTCAAATTATTATTCATGAGTTGTGTCTCATGATAGCTAGGGTATTCGATATTTGGCCAAAATGTCCCTTTTAAAGAATTTCAATACAAATGTCAAAAGCGATGTCTTGGACAACTAGTTCGACAAGTTAAACCAATATGATAGCAATGAATAATGTCTTAGCTTTTATAACATGATGAGACAGAAAAGGAAAAAAAATAAATTGGTAACCCATTTCGTTGCATTAACACATACATCCAGAAGGAACTCTACCCAATAAAGGAAATTCTCTATTAGTAGTTTAATACACTTAGTCTTACAAGCAACAACAAGCCCATGTTGTTCAATGCCTCTTTCTAACATTACCCAATGACTTTCTATTTAGGAAATCCCCGTAATATATAAGAACCTACTCACTGTCTTATCAACCACACAACTCCTGATTGGTGATTATAACTCATTAACAATGTTGAACGTTACAACTCAACTAAGACAAAAAAACTATGCCAAGTTACTGAAACACGGTGGTGCACATAAACATGTTGAATCTACAACTCCACTAGACAAACCTACAACTATTCCAAGTTACTGAAACGTGGTGTGGTGTACATGCAATAGTAACAAGGACTCAAATAAACCATGTCCTTCTAAAGATCTTCAATGTATTTCTTATTTTCCAATGTAGGATTTGACCTCATTATGTAGCAAACTATTATGGTTTTTCTCCTTGGATCTTTGATTTAATTTTGTCAAGAATATTTGCACAATCTATTGGATAAGATTGTTCCCATAACTATCTGTAATAGAAAGATATGATTTTGTTTGTTTCAAATTTAAATTTAAATCACATCTAAATATTATTTGATCTTCGAAGTTTTCCAATAAATCTTATAATCATATTGCTAAATTAAATCAATAAAATCTAACTGAATCTTCAATGGGAAATTGGTTCCAACACACATCAATCTGACCAGTTGAGTAAGGCCTAGATGTTGTACCCACATGTTGTGAAATCGCTTACAACATGTGTCCCTTATGCACTAGAAAAACATCTTGAATCAACTTGGAAAACTTGAAAACTTTTCCATATTTTTGTTTTGCAAAATGCAGCCAATCTAAAAGGAAAAACAATCGTCCCCTTTGGTAAATTGTGACAAAATAAATCTTCAAGATAGATAGCACTCATTCAATTAGAACAAGTGACATTCAACAAAACTATCAGAGCATAAAATTTTATCAACAACAACATTCATCATAGTTGTAACACACCAGTGAAAAATCAGTAGCATTCATCACAAATGCATGCCATAAGAAATAATTCTCCAAAATTAATCAGACAGAAATCTAATCATTCACAACTTAGTCATGCATGACTCTCAGTCAGCTCATGGTTAGTAGCATACAATCCTACCAACAAATAATTATCAGCATGCAATCATTCACATACTTAGTCATGCATGAATCTAGCTTGTTCATAATTAGTAGCATACAATCCTACTAACTAAGAATCCCATGAATCCAATCTAAGAAGTCAATATATTGAAAAAATATGCTAGACATTTTGTCCGACATGTTGACAGATTCTCAAAAGCTTAAGGAGAATGATGATCATATCCATGAAGATGTTGAGGTTGATTCTACTAAGGGCGATTGTGGTGGTGTTAATACCGAAGA